TCTTAGCACCGCGGTTTAACAACAAAAAAAACTGACTCGAAATAGGAATTGGTCATATGTTCAAAGCGAGAACCTATTGAACTAAATGAATATCGAGACTCCATGAAAGTTATTGGGTAAACGTGAGAAATATTATTTGCGTAACTTCGCCGGCGACTCTGGCCAACAGCCGCACTTACGACGTGCGTGAAAATGAACGTGGAAATAAACCGTGCAGTCAGGGTTTGAAAGCGTTTCATCTTCTGGGTTCTTTCGGTAAAGTCACGTAGAAGGGAAATAATAAAATAATAAAAATCAACATAATAAAATAATTCTCACGACGTTTCGGCCACAACTCATCAGCGGTTGCCACAACTCATCAGAGGTTGCGAACAAGTGTGTGCGCCATCACAGAGAGTGAATAAGTAAATAAAGAAACATGTGTTTATCCTAGGATTGAATCTTGGCAACCACCCATCTTTTAACTGGGTTCTCAAGTACAGAGAGTTGATGTTGTCAGCCCAGTCACCAATAACTGCACAACACGCACACACACACATATATATTACATTTTGTTTTTCACAGTTTGGCATGTTCCAGCTCTCAGCTATGATTTGTTTTATTAGTTTGATTGACACAGACAAGGTGTGAACGTGGTATGGATAAAGAGGCCGATTGAATTGACTTCAGAACTTATTCTGTGGCATGGATTCCTCTGGGAGGTGTTGTCTGACACAGGGTGGTGCAATGCTAGCTGCAAGAACTCTAAATGGAAGTGTCTCTCCTTACGACGCGATGCCAAGAGCACAATTGACATTTTTGTGTGGGGGGAGTACAAAAATGTATTTTAAAAATAATAACAATTAAATGAGCAAATATTTTCTCCGTTTTACTGACGGTTCCATTTGCAAATAATTTCCTTCAAATTACCCTTTCGTTCTACACCTTATAAGATGAAGAGACGTTCCATTCATGATTTTTTTCCCGAGACTCCGAAGCAATATATCCTACCAACAGGAGAGCAGTGCAGACTCAAACCACAGTACAGGGGTAGTCAAGGTGTCTTACGACCCTTAATCAATTGACCCCAAAACGAAATTCATTTGTATATTCATTTCTGTTTTAAATCAACATTACGCTAAAAACATCAAGTTTTAGATAATTAAATGTGGGTCATTACTTCTGGACCATCCTGTACAGTAATCACAAGCGTATTTTTGCCATTGCCAGTAGAGGGCACTATTGTATAACATATTAAACTTATCTGGCAATCGTTACATTTAATTAATCACAACTATCAACAAAATACTGCCTTTTAACGTGCGGCATGTCATGGTCAATACATGTTATTCAAAATGTATACAATTGCTTCGCACAGTAAATTGCATCATTGTTCTTCTTGGTTCTTTCGGTAAAGTCACGTAGAAGGGAAGTAATAAAATAATAAAAATAAAACATAATAAAATAATTCTCACGACGTCTCGGCCACAACGCAAGCAGCCGTCCTCAGGTGAAGACCAGGTCTGTTGGGGAGACAGCGTCTGAATTCAGACGCTGTCTCCCCGACAGACCTGGTCTTCTGCTTGCGTTGTGGCCGAAACGTCGTGAGAATTATTTTATTATGTTTTATTATTATTTTATTACTTCCCTTCTACGTGACTTTACCGAAAGAACCAAGAAGATGAATCCCTGCAGTCACGAAAGCTTTAAATCGAAATGCATCATTGTTGTATCATAATAATTACAACTTATATCGCACAAACCATGACATCTCACGGCTCTTTACATCAATGGCAATGGGGGGGATCAGGGTAAGAAGTCGCTGGAGTTCAAATCGAAGATGCCCTCCCGAAGATCCCCAACGTACCGAACTCTCAGGCAGCCTTCGGCCGAGAGTTCAACACAGTGCAAGCGCAACAGAACCGAAGGCTTTTGATCGCCCACGGACTTGACGTTTGTTCTGGGGGTGCAGAGGAGGAGATCTGAGTCCACCGACATTCGAGTTGTTGGCGGAACGCAGGGGCGCAGCAATTCCCCCGATATATATGGAGATGCGGAGATCATCCAGGGCCTTGAATGTGAGAAGGAATCCTTGAATTAATCGCGGACTTTAACCGGCAACCTAGTGAAGTGATGCAATCAGAGGGGTGATATGTTCTGGAGGAGGAGTTCGGGTCAAGATCCTAGCAGCTGCATTCTGAATAGAATAGAGTTGACAAAGTACCGGACTGGAGTCAACAGAGAATCGGACTGGAGGTTCTAGATAGCAAGGCATTGCAACAGTCAATGCATGAGATTATAACCAATTTCTCAGCGTCTCGTATGAACAGAATAAATGTAATTTATATAGTTTACTGCTGGGCTTGTGCCACAGATAGTAACAAATCGTTTTGATTGCAAAAAATTCAGGAGTCACTTCTGCTGGGAATGCAGTCACTCTTTAATAATAACGCAAATTATTTCTACGTACATACAAAAACTCATGAAGACAATTTTGCTAAATGTATTTTTGCCCAAGAGATTGCGGAAGCAGAAAACCTCCAAAAATCGATTCAAATCATGCGAAACTATTTCAAAATGTCATCAGCGCAGTAACTATGGTCCATCCATTTTCGGGTGTTTGCAATATTGGAGGAATCTGTAGCTACAAACAGCATGTTAATCCCAAGAGTCAAAGGTACCACTGCATTTTGATTGTATTTTTTTATACACAGGCCAGGTAAACCCCAGTAGAACAGGTCCCCTGGAAAGGCTAGTAACAGGTCTGACAAGGAACCTAATTGTTGTCCTCCATTCTATTGCAGGGCGCAAGCTCAAAAACATTGTCGTCAATAGTACGAGGAATGTTTCGCCGTTTTTATTTGACTCAAGTTGCGTGGAGGGGAGACGAGAGCAAACAGAAATAATACAATTTTAAAAAATACAAAAATCCGTTTTGTCATATTCAACTTGGGCCGAGCAGCCTGTTAATTATTCTCGGCGTGCTCGAAACGGTGGATCTAATTACCGTTGCGAGTTGTTATGCAGCTCTTTCAGATGAATTTGTTCACTGAACATATGGCGATCCTAGTCTGCGACGCTTGATGCCACCGTGTATAGATATTGTCATTGCCATCGCTGAGCGGGGAGGTGCAGAGCCAGAATACCAGAGCAGTATTCTCCATTTGGTTTCATAACCAATGGGCCATTGAGCTTTTTCCTTCGTTGCCTTCTCAAAGAAGGTGGTTTTAGTTTGAAACACTACAACATTTCTCACCCCCCACCCTCTTTTGTCGTGGCACTGGGCCACTGGCGGTGGCTCGAAGCAGGATTTGTTTTTTGGTGGCCACCGTTTCAATGAACAAACTCCTTCGTGAGTTGACGACAGGAGGTAATGTAGACAGATGAGAGTAGAGAGGTACACAGATGAGAAAGAGCGAGGGATATGTAGTTACATGAAAAAGATGAAGACAACAAATAAGGGTTATACATAATACACTTTTTGAGTTAGATCGCGTTATTTACAAATGTGTCGTAACTCTCCACCACCCGACACGGACAATCAGTGAAAAAGTGTCACGTTTTTACTGATTAGAGTGTCGGGTGGTGGAGGGTTACGACACATTTATAAATAACGCGATCTAACCCAAAACGTTTATTTTGAATAATATTGGTCGCGACAGCCTACGTGTTAAACCAAATAAGGGTTATAATGAAATATATTTGCGGATGGGATAGCGATGAGAGATATTAAAGCACTAGAATGTATACTTGGCTTTTTGAATGTTCTCTAATAGGATCTCAATTCGAGCTGATGTTTGGTGCATCCTGATTTTTTGTTGTTTAAATTTGGGTCCCATCGAGTTGCTTGGAGCCTTAAGCTCTTGCTAAGTTTGCAAGTGCACCGTACCACCGCTGCCACCCTCTGTCGTACGCCTTGCTGGTCTAGTGAGCGTGCTAGCACCTTGAGCGGTGATGACACTACACTCAAGAAGGTGTCTTCAACAGTTATGACATAACCACAATCCCAGCATGGTTTGCATCTCACCACGCCATCGCCTTGGGTTGTGCATGGCCACCGGCCCAAAGGAGCCACAAATGTTGTGGCATTTTTCATTTAGGCAGCAGAGAGAATGCGAGGCTAGTGTTGTCCTCCCGCTGGTCTCCACAGGTTTTAGCGGATCTAAACGCGACATACTGATGTTGTTCTTGGCTGTAGGTTATTTTCGAGCCATGCGAAATAAAATTGCGTGTATGTATGTGTGCGGTTCGCATGCTGCGCCACAAAGCATGCAACCCGACTTCGATTGCTGTCCACGGCTAAACATTGGTGGCATCAGAACCGGGTCTGCCCTGCTACAATATTCACCAACCCGCGCTGACCAGCGGGATGGATTATTGCAAATAAAACAACACCGGCATGGCGTGGGAAGGTATTCATTAATTGTCGATTTAGAATGGAAGACATGTACGATGTAAAACAATGTTCTTTGTATATATGAACTTTAAAGATCAGAGCCACACACACTCACTCAGTAGGACGACACACGTTTTGCGAAAACGCCTTCCCCGTGCAATTTTGACAAATCGCAGAATAAACCGCCGGGTGATTTCGCCAGTGATATTCGCCGGTAAAATTGCCACGCAGGGTCGGAGCGGCGGCGGCGGCAAGAAAAAAAAATTAACCCGTAGAAACAAAGTTTTTCACTATAAATCCTTTATATGCGTGGTATCGGTTTTATTTTTATTATTCATTTCTGTTTTTCTTGAGTAAGAGTTTCATTTTTATCACATTGGTATTTTAAATTAAATATGAAATTTTTTTTTCCTAAAAAGTGGAAAATTTTGGAATTTTTTTTTCACAAAAATAAATTGTCACCACAACGAGTCTGTGTGCAAAACGTCAGCTCGATTGGATCACGGGAAGTGGGTTAAAAAACGACCGAAAGATTTGCACGGTCGTAAGCGCGCAAGCAAGCAAGCAAGTGAACTTAATATAAAGGATTTTTAAAAATCCCGTCCCCCCCCCCCCACACACAAAGCCGTTCTGCGGGAGGTGGCGCGTTTCGGGATGGCAGGAGGGAGGTGAGGCACGGGGCGTTCGTGTCGGCCAACCCTGCGGAGGCAAGAGGTAAGGGAGCTGCCAACTGCGATCACCAGCCTGCCCGTTCCCACACCCCCACCGCGCGCTGTCACAACTTTCGTGCTCAGACGCGCGCGTGTGTCTGTGCGCCCAGTGTTGAGGTTGCCACCTGTGAGGTACAAAAACTAAAACAATTATAACAAGAACCCGGAGGTATTGTGGGAAGAAAGTGCGAGTCGAAGCAATCTCTTTCGCAAATGAGAATTGAGGTGGCAGTTCAACTCCCGTTGAGAGCACTGAGCCAGTGGTGGAAATTCCACACTTCTGTGATGTCGGGGTCGGGGGGCTGTCTATTGGAGAACCACTGTTGACTTCCCCGCTACGTGGATACCAATTTTATCGACCCCAAAGGGTTGATGGGCTCCATCGCCCCAACCAGAATTCCACATTGCGACCTTCTGATTGTGAGCTGCTCGCTCTACTGCTCAGCCACCAGGCCGGTTTATGGTAAGACAAATATTTCATAATTACTATACAGAGGGGAGAATTATAAATCCATTGTCTAGACTGCTGTATTGTTAAACAACTGACAAAAACCGGGCAGGTTAGACCACCACCTGAAAATGAGCAAAAATTGTGTCCATATCAATAAGTATAAGAGTAGTAACCGTTTAACAATGATTATGATTCATTTTCCTATAAAAGCCTCACTGAGTGTCAATACAGTGTCCAGTTTGAGACGAATTTACGAATGTCCCGTGGCGTGGGCATGGTTGCCACCTCTGGGGTATAATCAAGCTGGGTCATATCGTGGTAAGCAAAATATCTGTCAATAGCGGAAGAGGAGATCTCAGTCGTGGAACAAGGCACACGCTTAGGGCCCCAAGTAGACCCACGGGGCCCCCGCATTCGTGTAAAGATTGAGATACACAAAATATAACTTCAAATTAAGATCGTGCTTAACATAAAACGTCAACACACACGAAACGCGAAGTAATCCCTCGCATCTCTACACTCTACACAGCCTGCATCAATATTCTCTCATCTCCACTGGAGCTATGCAACTTTTAAATTGAAAACTAGTTTCTTTAGAACTGCTTTTTGTGCTTAGTTTGTTGTCCGATTGGCGCGGTCGGCTACGTACGGTGCGAGAGAAGTTCAACGTGCACACACACACACCTCGCTACATCTTTATCTCTCATCGCGCTGCAAATCTTTCTGTTGACCACATTTTGCTCATCTCGCTTCATCTCGTCTGTCACCGCACTCGGAGTTCAGACATTGAAAGGGGTGCGAGGGGCTCCCGATGGCCCACCACCATCACCGAGACACCTACACACAAATGCGTCGCCTAGAGTATTGTTGTTGTTGTTGTTGTCATGTACTGGCGAGACGTACACATCGCCCCAGGGCAGCGACTGCACAAAGAGGACGTCCTGACGAAACCAGGACAGGTGGCAACCCTCAACAAAACAAAGACAAAGACCCCCCCCCCCCGCTCCCCGTATAGCCTTAACAGCGTGTTGGGGCAAGTGCTGTTAGCGAGCACCTATGAAGGCCACCGCGGCACACGAGGGGGTGGGTGGCCAGCGCCACGCCCGGCCGCCTTTGTCTCCCTTAGTGGCGATGTTTTTACACACCGCATCAGAAGGTACTCATTTGAGGCTGAGTCGACCTATGATGGAGGAGATCCCACCACCCAGGGACCGGTTCAGACAATCGTCACCGATCTCCCCCCACCACCACCTCCACACCTCTCACCGCCAGCTATGACGGAGGAGCGTTGCACCTTTTGCGAGACCCCCCCCCCAAACAATGGGGAAACCCGACCCGCGTGACGCCGAGGCTCCCACCTGCGCCGGTTTTACATTATTGAGTCGTGCAGATGTCCGCTTGCTCCCCCAACACAAAGGCTTCGCACGGGTTCCGCCCTCGCACGCCCGCACATCAAACTAAGCATTTTGTCAATGAAAGTAGAGAATTGGACTGTGCTGTCATTTTTTGACAGAACAGGTTGCGCGCGTGTGTGTGTGTGTACACGCGTGCGTGTGTGTGCGTGTGTGTACACACGCGTGTGTGTGTGTGTACACACGTGTGTGTGTGCGTGCGTGTGCGTGGGGAGCGGTAGTGTAGCAGTTAGCGCGCTGCGCTATGAACTAGGTGACCCGGGTTCGATTCCCGCTCACGGCTAACACCAGTGACGATTATCTGAACCGGTCCTGTGCCTCCCCTAGGTCGACTCAGCCTTAAATGAGTACCTGGTGCGGTGTGTAAACATCGCCACTGGGGAGACAAAGGCGGTCGGGCGTGGTGCTGGCCACCCACCCCCTCGTGTACCGTTCCGGCCTTCATAGGTGCTCGCTAACAGCACTTGCCCCTACAGTCTGTTAAGGCTATACGGGGGATCTTTGTCTTTGTACACACGCTTGTGTGTGTGTGTTTTGTGTACCGGGAGCGGTGGGCGTAGTGGTTAGAGCGTTGCGCTACGAACTCGGTGACCCCAGTTAAATTCCTGCTCACGGCAAACATCAGTTGCAGATATTTCAACTAGACCTGGGCCCTCCCCTACGTTAACTCGGCCTTAAATAAGTAGCTGGTGCACTATGCAAAAATCAACACTCGGAAGTCAAAGACGTGCTCTTGACTGCACCACCCCGTAGTGCAGCGAGCAGGCCTTATTAGGTGCTCGCTAACAACACTTGCTCCCAGGGGATCTGTGTCTTTCTACCACAAAATAGAGTTCTGTGAGACCTAAATAAGCTTAACTGATCGCTCACAACTCCCTATGCAATCAGCCACAGGATACTCAGCATTATCATTTCCCCTGGTTGATCCTATTTCACACGGAGATACCAGCTTAACTATACCGGCAGTGTACAAACACATTCCACAGGCAAAGCCCTTGTATTACTCTGCTAAGGCATACATCCGACCCAGACACAAACTTGTGTTCAAACTTGGAGCTTGAGTTAACATAAGTGGTATAACTACATAATTCCGTGTTTGTTGTAAAGTTAATTATGTGTGTATCGTATGATATATCATTTCCGCGGTTTGGGTATAACTTAGGCTTACTCTTTTCTCTTTTCATGAAGTCAAAAAAACCTGCATACAGATTACCGATTTGGTCTGTCCATGCATTTCATAGCTTTGCTGCCTTTTGAGCTGAACCTGCTATTTAAATATGCTCATCACATTTATCAAGTTAACTTCGCAGCTAAACTGCACGTCTCGCCACGAACAGGCACGAGAAGTGACTTAGCAACCTTGCTAGGCGCACATCATAACTCATCAAACATCTGCAGACACCAAGGACATTGAGCAATTTTCTTTAAGCCCTTGCATTGCGTTCGTGTTTAACTTTAGTTGCTTACTATTCACACACGTGCAGTGGGGAGGCCTTATCCAGCAGTGGATTGACGAAGGACCATAGATTTTGTGTCCATTGTTATGAGACAGCTGGAGAACATGTCTTAGATCCCTACACCTCTGCCCACCCATCAGTATAAAGGGGTGCACCACAATTAGTTTGGTTATTATAGGTCACCTATTGTGAGCACTTCCGCCTCTTCCAAGACGTCTGGCCAACGTGACAAAGTAGGCCAGATAGTTGTAAAATTAATTCAAATAAAATAAACAAAAATCTACGACGTTTCGATCACAACACAAAGCGATCGACATCAGGAGGAAAAAATGAGGGGAAAGCTGCTGAAGGCAGGCTGATGACGATCGCTTGTGTTGTGATCGAAACGTAGTTTTTTTTGTTTAACCTTTCTACGTGACTTTACCGAAAGACCCAAAGAATATGAACTCCTGCAGTCACGAAAGCCAAGATTTCGGCCAAATAGCCTTTAATGCAGCTCTCTAGAGATCCCTCTACATGAATGAAGGGGAGACCGACACTTCCACCATTCTATGAACGCCGTTGGCTACACACGGTGTGAAGGAAGTTCAGCATACGTGCATGAGCATGAAATTTCCGAGCTGAACTTTTACCTCTGTACACGATACTGTCCCTAAAATGCCCTGAACGGTGTCACAGAGAGCCATGCGCAAAATTGCGTTCCATTGAGAATTATTTTTTTACACTGCTCCACCTTACAGCTTTTGTTTGTTTGATTTTCCGTGACGCGTCTGCTATTCATAGGACTCATTTGTTTACAATGGCAATATAATCGGTCCACAATAAATAACCGGAGGAAATTGGAAAAAAAAATTCATGCAAAATATGACACGCTGCACGTGTATTTTTCTATTTGCTCCAGTATCACATCCATCTTTCCATATATATATCAATTGAAGGCACGGGCTAAATATAGGCAGGGTCTCCTGTGCTGTGGGTGCATCGAGGTGGTTAAATTCTTGATGCGGAATGCTCGTCAAACCAGCTCCACATTGTCCCTCCACCGAGTGACATCGCTGCAAAAATGTGAACACAGAAGTGTGACACCCGGTGAACTGTAGCGGACTGCTGTGGCAGTCTGACGTAGGCATTGACAAATGAATGAATAATTGACGGCGTCTAAATCATCAGTGTTACATGTAATTAAGATATTGTTTTTCTCTTCTCCTTCTGTAGTCCCTAAAGGCCACCAAACACTGCATACTAATGCGAGATGCGCATACCAAAGAAGTAAATTTCCAACATGCTGTGCTATTCATAGCCACGGTCGCTGGTGTGACCATACCTCACCACGATGGCCGGTGTGGATTTGGTGAAGGAGGGAACCAGGCTGAGTTTGGATATCACTCGCCACTGATGTCAGCCTTGCCCCGAGAATTGAATTCACTCAGCTGGCCCGATTCACATCGCACGCCTTCGTCCAGCAGTGGATTGATCTGTAAATTATGATTTAACAAAAATATCTAAAGTTGCAGTTGTTCATGATAACATGACTGTTGTTGTTGTTGTTACCTTACAATGAAATGTATGGTTAGACGGCTGTTTTAGCATCGTTATCTAGTTTGATACGTCGACTTTCCCGACCAATATTATCCATTATAGAGATTGTTTGGGGTTAGATGCCTTAAATAGAAATGTGTCTACATCATGGGACCTCGTTTGCCAGTACCAAAATATAATAATAGGTGTTAGACCATAGTACGCCTTTTGGCGTCGTCTGGTCTAACACCGTTTGAGACGAGGCTCAAAAGAAAGCTGTCTCTGGTGTGGACCAATCCGTTTCAAGGACAATGCATATATTATCAGAGTATGTTTTGTGTTTGCATTCTGACCACACTCATTGTGGTTAATGTAGACATGATTCCTTGTAAATGGTTTCAGTTTGGTGCTTTAACATCTTAACACCTGTTTTGTTGCCAGAAAAAAGGGGAAAAACCTATTATTATATAAATGTGTCGTTAAAACCA